ATTATAAGGTATTTTACATATTATAATGACGTAGTCCCTCTACGTTAACTATGAAATGAAAAGTAACGATCGCTTGAATGGAAAGCAATCATTATTCGGTTCTATGAGTATTTATATTTTTCTTTGTGGAATTAAAATGCGATAATTTGCATTGATATCATTAACTATTTTTTTTACAGCAATACAAAATTTAATAGAAAATAAATATTACAAAACGGCTGCTTCAAGCGTCAATAAATATTCAAGAATATAAAAGAAAATGCAAACGTAGAGTAGGCTGTAGTAAAATATATTAAACACGAATGTTTATGTTTCATTTCGATACATTTAAATAGGAAAATTCTACTACTACAATGTACACAAATAATTATTTATTTTAAAATTTTATTACAATATTGGTTTTACTCTTTCTTATTCCCTCAATTTGGATAAATAACTTATTTTGGTTCACATTAATTATTAAAGTTATTGAAAATGGAATACTGTATATGAGTACATATAATACTGAAAATTAAATACAATTACTAATTTATTGAAACAGGTGAGAGAAGAAAGCGGTCTATTTGCATGATAATGTACACACTTAAATGTTGCTTAAGTACATTAACATTTTTAATGTAAACGTTAGATATCATTGATGCGCAAGTACACAAATCGTTTTGAAATCTTTTATCATATAATTGTCATGCATATTGTACGTGTCTGCATCACTATCGCCAATTATTAATACAAATTAGTCATTCATAATAAAAAGAATGAAACAAGTCGTCGGATAGCCGTAGTATTACAAAAAGTAAAACATTTTTTGCAAACAATTTGTGACGTATATTTAGAACGTTCGTAAATCAACGCAATGATATTATTATCCATCATAAGTAGACATTTGTGATTGATTAAAAATGTAAATAGAATATTCAACACTTGCTTTTAAAGCGCACGACATTGTATTTACTTAATTTTACTAGCTTTAGCACTACTGGCATTAGTCATGAAAATTCATTGCCTTTAATTTCAGCAAATTAAAGAATCGATAATTAATTTTTAGCAGTGTTAATACTTTTGCATTTAAAATTAGTTTTTAACAATAAATTTTCTTCCACAATCCAATTTCAAGCGAAGCCATTGGAGGAAGTCGTAGAGCAACATAATATATTAACACCCCATTACTACATTTACTTTTAGACACAATCAAAATTCCATTATCGTACTAAACTAACACGCTAACTATGGTAAAATGATAAATCAGCATACATAAATAAATTAGATATGATAAAAATAAAACGAAATTTTCAATGATAGAGAGGGAGAGAGAGAGAGAGAGAGAGAGAGAGAGAGAGATAGAGAGAGAAGGCTGTGATGTAAAGCCGTATTACAAGTAGTCAAGTAATCGATCGATCGTCATTACTAATTACATGAAATTTCTCAGCAAGGTCAAAATGTTAAATTGCTCTCGACGACGATGGCGTTATCGTCGGCGTCGGTATGTAAAGCGAGCAACGCCATCGTATCCAACCACCAATACCCCCGCTCCTTCATCTACGGAGGCCCTGGCTTTGTATATTTGTATCTGTCAAAGCATCGGCACAGCCACGAGGTGCCGGTGGTGGCCACCTCAAACGAGCCACAGAGGTGCCCTTAAAAGTGTCCGGGCGATCCGACCTTCGCCGTAACGGGCGACGCCACTCCCCATCCCCTCCAGCAATCGCGCGCACGCGATAAGAAGTAAAAGAGCGAGGCGAGTGTGCGATAAGCGGAGCGCGGAATCCACGAAGGGAGAGCCGCGGCCGGAGCCGCGCGCCCGAGCCGCGGAAGGAGGGAAGTCGCGGACATTCGTGGTCCGGCCTCGTGCGCGGTAGGATCGTGGCGAGCTCGAGTCACGTCCTCGGGAACGTCGTGGTACCGAGGTCTTCCCGTTGGCGAACCTCCCTCGTTAGCTCGCGGATCACCTCAAGTCCCAGTCCGAACGACCCTGAGAGCATGGCCTCGCTTAACGAATGTTGCCCGTCGACTCGCAGCCGCGTCTATTAATATCCTGGAGAACATTCCTACGCGGACGAGTGACGCTGACCTTGCCTCGATCCGGTACATTGAGCCGGTGACGTTAGAGGGAGGGGAGTACCTAGGCTTTCCGTGGTCCGTCGCCCTTAGCCGGGATAAGTAAGTAGTGCGCGGTGGAGAGGGTGAGGAGGAGGAGAAGAAGGATGATGTACCATAAGCCGACGGTGCCGCGATTCAGGATCGCGGAGAGGGTGAGCGTGTCTGTGAACAATCGTCCGGTGTACAGTAAGCAGCACAACAGTCATAGCAGCACTTGCAGTCTGAGAAATGCAGGAAGTACGCCGCCCTGCGTCAGCCGGTAAACCGACGGGACGAAAAGTTTTTAATTGCTCCACTCGCTTTTCACCCCATCACAGCGACTTTCCTATTAATTTCCAATAGCTGCCATTTATGCGCCCGCAATTGGTTTTTAAATTTCTTTACATAAGTCATTTTAGACGCTCATATACTCTGTTTTTGTACAATAGACTTCAATTTACTTTGGATGATTGCGCGATGAATCTGTGATTAGATTCCGATGCATTATTCTTGGGAATAACGAATAAACAATTGCCATTTGAATAGTTTTTCATATTAATTGTATGAAACATAAAATTAAATCACTCTTGAGCCCTTAAATTTAGGGTAATTTACGTTTAACTTTGTGAATATCATATGTTCAAAAAATGTAATGTAAAAGTTGACTTTTTAACAAATTAGTGTCTCACATCTAATTATTGTTAACACTATAATTTAAACTACCGAATAATTTATTGCTCGACATTGCTTATCACAGGCTCAAATTTATAGGGTAATGAGAACTGCTTACGATTTCTTAAAGATTGTAATATAAGAGTGCAATTAGAGTATATAGTTATAATTGTCATGTTAACACATACTTTTTCTCTCTCTCTTTTTTTTTTATACGACATTGCCCTATTATATTAACAAATATATAATTTTAAGAGTTATGCGATTATTGCAGAATGTCAACGCTTATACGCTAATAACAAATAATTTCCTAAAGCCGTTATAAAAAAAAAAATCATATTTAGCAAATGAAATAACGTGTCGTTCGTCAAGCATAAATAATTGAGATTATTTCTTGTATATAAATAATTATAGAATTAATAATGTAAATAAGACGAGACATATTTCATTTAATTAAAAATGTTCAATAAATTCGTAACTATTCGTGCGATTCCTTTAAAATATTTATTACGTTTAAATGAGTTTCGATTTTCCTATAGAATAGTTAATTTTCTTTTAATACGTCGAATATATTAAATTACTTATATTTTTACCATTTCATTCATGATATTCGTGATAAGTGAGGAATGAATTTTTTCAAGAAAAATAAAAATTAGTGCTTTTATTATAGCAGTATACGAATAATGAAATTAATGGTAAATTATTACAATTTTTCAATGATTTAACAAGTAATATAATTATCATCTAATATAATAATATTTCATTAAAAATACCATGTAGGCCAATACCATGTTTTAAGATATAATAAATTAATAAAAGAAGCCGTTTTTTTTTTTTTTTTTTTATTAAAATTTTGAATAAATATTAAAATTAACAGAGTAAATTGTAGACTTATTGTTATAGATTTTATTTTCGAATTATGAAAAATTATCATGATTTATAAATGGAATATAATGATTCTTTTGTTTATCATAGAGAAAAGTAATCTTTGCAATTTATAAATTTATTTTGCTCTAATAACTAGAATGTTTAAATGTTATTTCGATTGCAGCAACTTTATCACTTGATATATATTTTATATTTTGAATTGTTGTTTTCTTTCAAATATAAGACTACTCAAATATACTGATTTATTTGGTATTCTTATTTTTTCCTATTTTCAACGATGATTATTTAAATTTGCATATTTATTTACAGCGATAGATGTATTAGATATTGTTGGCTCACAATAAAATATCAAAGTATACCGGTGCCATTATCCAAATTACTGACGTTCCAATCTTTGATTGCATATACCGTGTCGCGTTTGTGTTTGCGTTTGTGGTTGTTTGTTTGGGCATGTGTGCGTGCGTGCATGCACGCGGTCGCACATAGTAGTGTTTTTAACTGTAAAAAGGTTTTGTGCTATAGAAATTATTGATCTGTTAATAACTATAATGTTGCAATAACCATTCGATGCGACATAAGTGCGTATATGGTAGGTGTTCTATAAATGTAAACTGTGTAACACAACCGATATATCTAAGTAATTGTTTATACTATAAGTTTCTGAAGTAAAAGTCTTGTAATTTACTTTATTTTTGTTGGAGGATATATATTCTTGTAGAACAAAGAATAATGAATAATTTATTGGCACGAATTTCAAAAAAAATTTTTTTATTAATTTTTAATGCTCCATGTTCTTAATGAGAAAAATTATAATTAATCTGTGTAATATATTTTTTTTTTTTTTTAAAGTAGAACTTCATTTTCGTTTAACACTTATAAATTTTAATTTGAAACATAATGTATATTTGACTATAAGAATTTCGGATGAGTGTATTGATAATTTGAAATTAATTACGACAAATGCTAATAACTAAAGAGTTTTTTTATTTATTAAATACTTGATATATAATACAAATTTAGGTTACATAATAAACGTAAAGTTGCATTGAACTTGATAAATCTAATGCGCAATTAAAATTATGATGTCATTATTTTAATTAAGGCATTTAAAAAAGACTGCTGTTTTTTTTGTTGCTGTTTAGTACAGTCAAGTAATGATGCTAAATATATAATTTAAGAGTGTAGTTTACTTTATTAAAATCTGAAATAGAATATAGATATATTTCATGGTACGGATTTACTGCTTTTAAGAATAAAGAATCGCTGTTAAGCAAATATATTTCTTACATGAAAAAGAATTTTGTAATATTGAACGTAGTTTCGCAAGGCAAATGACAAAAGACGACTCTTTCTCTCTGTTTCAGTATGAAACAACCATTAAGCAAAGGACAATCACCGGTTCACTCGAGTACCCCTGTAAGATCCGGCGTGCAATCACCAAAACCAACTACTAACGGTTCCGATCAGCTTACGTAAGTTACGCAGCAATACTCCCTTGAATATATGAAAATAAGAAATGATACGAATAAAGATTATTTGGCATTATTATAGGAGACAAAATTCTACGTCGTCAAATTTCGAATCAAAGGTAATTGAAGGACATTACGACATCGTTAAATCTCACAAGGTTAGTTTATTACTTTTACTGCTGTTTTGCTAATTTTGTTTAATACCTTAGGTAGATATATAGATATATTTATGGTACTTATTACAATAAATTATATCAATAGCTTTTTATATTTTAGGCAAGAGGAAATTATATTGATAATTATCTTTATCATAATAATTTATCATAAGATAAATGCCGAATGATGAGATTATATTTTATAGAATTATAGAAATGTATAGAATTAAAGGGGATATCCTAATATTAAGTAAGAGCATAATTTATGCTCAGCATTTGCTGCGACCAATAGAAAGAATAATCTTTTGTGCATGCAAGTAGTCGTGAAATTTGTGATGCTTCAATTTACGGTAACGTGAACTTTAAAAGTAGTCGCAGATGGATATGAGCTGCATAAATTGCCATGTTCACTTTCATGGTGCGCGAACCTTGCTGGCAATTGCCAGTTCTAACGAGTCTTAAAACCTCAATTTCCTAATTTTTCCTAATCGATGATTCAACCTTAGTTTACTGGCCAATGCGTACAATCATGCATTCGTTTATGTAATAACTTAATTAATAACTGATATAGTCTCTCGTCTATATTGTAACTCCAATAAAATTACCACGACATTTTCATTATGTAACGTTATTATCATTTCGTACAATCGCCGATATTATTATCTAATAATATATTTATGCACGATTATCCGTAATTGTTTAATTTTCAATTTATTTTCGAATTTTAAAAGTTAGATATTCGTGTGATACTTATTTCATTTACATGATAATCAAACGATTCTTTTTCTCTTTTTCTGTCATAATATAATCAATACGATGTGTTTCTTTTATTTTTTTATTCTTTTGTGATTTTTCTTTCAATTTCCACTTTTTTTTTTTTAATGAAGCTCTGACAATGTTTTTCCTACTTCCTAGAAAGAGGAAAGCTTTTGGAATGTAAATTTAGAGTTGCCACTTCTGACAATTGTCAAAATATCTTGAATAAATGAACATAGCAGCAACCATCATCAAATAAATATCTAATTGACTTATACTTTATATTAATTCTAAATAAAATTCATTTATAATATACTTACAATGATTTCTACCTAATTTCTTACAATGATATATTAATCTTTATTTATGTTTTTAATTTCATAATTGTTTTGACTTCTTAATTAATATATATATATATTTTTTTTTTATCATAGTGGTATGTTATTTGATGTCTAGCATTGTTATATTATCATGATAATTTATAAACATCTGTATTTATATTAGATGTTATTGTTAATTATTTGAGATTATAATTATATTAGAAATATTTGGCTAACATTATTTGACATAATTTTTATACAAAAAATACTGTGTTGCTAATAAACTTTGAAAATTCTTTCTTAATATCGGTATAGTTTATTACTAAACGCTCATTTCTAATTTATTATTCAGGCTGTTGTAATTCACAATACTGGAAATAATCTAGAATTAATAGTCTACAATTTTAGAATAAATTTTATCTTTGTCATATTTTTTAATTATTTTCATTTTCATTTGAAATAATAAGCGTCAATCGAATGCCTCAAATAAAAATCTTATTTATAATTTATAATTTTACTTAATTTATATTCACAAATATATTTATTTAGTTGCTACAAATTTTTGTATTACAATTAATAAAAAATATATTTGTGAATATAAAATAAGTAAAATTATTGAAAAATATTCAAATATATATGTTAAAATTTTAACATAATACATTTTATTTATTTTTTTTTGGATAATTTATTTTGTTTACATTTTCAAAAATTTGAGAAAATTTTACTATTAATTCACGCTCGTAATTAGAATGTATTTTTTTTTATTACTTATCTAAACTTTATTATTATTATTTTTTTTTTATAATTATTAATATTTATCATGTCAAATCATAAAAATATAAATCCGTTTGCTAATAAATTTATTAAATAAATGACACATGTTATTCCTCGAAATATAATTATATAAATAATTGATTAATAAATATTATTTTAATAAATTGTATTGGTTTCGTGTGATAAAATATTTTGTTTGTTTGAAAATGTTTAAAGAAAACGTCTCCAATAATACATTCAATCTATAATTCAGTTGCAAAAAGTATTGATATGGTTTCGTTCCATAAATAATCACGCACATTGATATTCATTAGAAATGCATCACGATGATTTAATTTACAACCAGGCTAAGGACAAGATTGAGAAAAAGGAATCAAGGTTTTAGCAATGAGTGTTTTTACTCTCGATGATCCAGTTCCTTCACCGAAAATTCCGAGCTTTACAAAGCAAATAATGGTCATCTTAATCATGCTTGTTTAAGAAAATCGTCAGCATTATCTATTTTTGTCTTATATAATGCCTCAATAGATCTCACATAATGGTATTTCTTCTATTTTTCAATTAGAAGTAAAGTTGATTCGTTAATAAATATAGTTTCTTGAATCTAGATAAACAATACAATTTGTCCAAATAACCATAATTATTACTACCTAAATTACGTCTTTAACCTATAGGATAATTAATTTCCTATTCTAGAAGTAAAGAATAATAATTTGTATGTTAATGTCGTAGCTAAATATTAAATTGTATTTGTTATTGGTTTAGCAGAAAAAGTAAAATCTTGTGCAAAAAGCGGAACAAATTAATGATTAGCATTTTATGAGAAATGAATTTCCATCTATAATTCGAACGCGACACTAATCCCGATTTTCCACTAGGCCACGCTGATCATTGAAAATCAACGTCAATTCTTTGACTTAGTAGGATAATTTATCAGCGAGAATCTTCGCTTGCAAGAACTTTATTTGCGCCTACGTGAGAATATTCTTTTCATGGACGCGATATTTTTTTCACGATATCGCGGTAACTATATTTACTATCCATTAGTTACGATGAAAATATAATACTAATCGCAGGCTGATGAAGTTTTACTCGCTGCTCTGTATGCGGCATTCTATGCCTTTTATCAATTATTATAATTATCCCAATTCATTAGAATGTATTGTATCTATGAATTTTAAATAATCTAGCTAAGTTATTTTACGCTCACGTACTTTATAACATATTTAGATGAAACTTTATAACATATAAGATCTTTACACTTGATGTTTCACTACACAAAATTCTCGCATAATGTGTGCAAATGTAAATCAAGTTTTTAATTTTGATAGTCTCAGCATTCCTTTCGATAAATAGACACGGACACATTTATTAGGACGATATTATTTTAAGTTACTTCCTAAGAGTTTGTTTAAGTTCGTATTTTCTTTTTTTGTTTTTTCAAAATTAATAATGAAAAACGTTATTCTAGTTGAATACCTATTTATCCTTCCGAGTGAAAATAATAAGTTAATCTTATTCATAATAATCGTCTAGATTATATTTTTCTTATTGCATGTATATCTTACTTATTGCTAATATAGGTTGGGAACTAAATCTTCATTGGTTGCTGTTGTGATCGATGACAAAATAAGAAAATATTATAATAAGTGGAGTATTATTTGAAACATACGTCATCTTCTCGTCAGCAACAATTCATAATCGCAAATAATGTAATTTATTGTCTAATAAAATTAAAGATTATATTTTAAGTATTATTTAAGGCACAATTTAAGGTATATAGTAAAGTTTCGATATATAGTTAAAATTGAACAATTATGTTTGATGTTATTTAAATTTATTTTACTTCGTCTTAAATATTAGAATAATGATATCTAGGCAATTATTTCATTTTTTAATGTCTATATTTGTCATCTGATGGACACTTAAATATGAACGGTAACTAACAGCTTTATTGTTCCATTTGATCCGACACACACACACACACACACACACACACACACACAGAGACACACACACAGCACAAATATTTTTGCAAAGTTTGAAAATAATGACAAAAGGAAGAAAAATGTTGTTTTTAGTGAATAAAAAAAAATCTTAATAGAGCACTTTAATTATTACTCACTTGATAATTAATTGTTAATTGTAAAGGGCATGTCCGCCCCGTTCTTCACTCACAATCCGCGGCACTATCGCCCTGATAAAAGTAACGGGTGCCGCCTGGAGTCATAAAACCCTACCGTCGGCATTTTGTCCATCAAGGTTAACTGGAATCGAGTCGACTGCGTTGGCGCGCCCATCGTCGCTAAGTAATCGGATATTTCGAGCTACGGAACGGTAAAGCCATGGTCAGCGGATCAAACGTCAGCTGTTATCGTGAGTTGTGACTGAGGACTTCGCTATGTAAGATTGATATTCTAGTTTCGTCTACGCTGCATTTTCTCTCTTCTCCTTGTCATCGTTTCCCTGCGTTGCTTGCAGTTGTGCGTATGTTGTCTTCGCATCGAAATTTCAGGATACTTTTAGGGCCAAATAAGCGTAGCCTTGACAATCCTATGTGGAAATTATACACAAGTGATTAAAATCGTTTGATACTTCGAATTGGGTTACAAGCGGTATTTTTACACTATTCTTATAAACGTTGAATTGTAGGTAATTGGCGGCTTTTCGGATCGCTGCGTATTTTAATGAGACTATTTGAGTAAATAATTTATGTAACTTATGGCACATTTTGTCGAATTAAGGATTATCAAAGGTAACTGTTTTACAAAGTAATATGCATATTATGCGTGATTAGCCGTAGAGTGCACAACGAAATTTTAAAAACAAAAGCAAAGTTTGCGGATCAATGACATCTTGAAACTACTGGATCGATCGATTGTAAAGTACATAACTAGCCATCAGAATATTAAAGAGAATAATAATTTAATAAAAATTTGTATTTTTTAATATCTAGTCGTTTTAATTGATTTCATTACATTAATTTAAATTTAATTAAAATAATGTAATAAAATTTTAAAGTAAACGGATTACGTAAATACTTTTCATAATTCTTTTATATGTGAGACAATTAATTAATAGCATTGTTTAAAGAAATCTAAAACTGATGGCTATTTAAGTAATTAAATATGGATACGCAATAATAGTTGATTA